GCATGGAAGCAGTTTCCTGCAGAATCTCTTACCCAAGACACTGCTGGCTGGAGAAATCAGATTCCAGGGCAGGATGGCTATCTCAGAATCTCTATTGCCAACAGCCACCCATGAAAAAGGGAGCCTAATCCTCTCCCAGCAAGCATCTCAGCCAGTCTTTGCAACCCCACATCCCACAATGTGGGGAAGACAAGGAGGGAAAAGGGGAAACCTACTCCAGACACAGGGGGCAAGGAATAACAAAAAGAACATCATTAGTGGCCAGACAAGTGTACCAAAACCAGGACTGGGACACAAGGAAAGCAAAGGCTGGCTCCTCCTGGAGTGCTTTGCTGAGAGTCTCTCTATCATGTCCCACTAAAGAAGCCAGACATCCCCTCCCTCCTAAATCATTACCCCAGCCTTGGAGTCAGTCTTTCTGGGAGAAAGCAAATGCAGGTCCTCCTGGATCTTCCCTGGCCTCTCTTCCTTTCTAGGGGTATGTTTTCAGGTCCCTTGTTTACTGAGAGTTATATTCCAAAAATCTGTTTATATACAATACCCAGTCATACATACCAGGACACCTTGCTGTTTTGGAAATGCATCAGCATAAAAGCAGATGAGGTTAATGTCATAAAGGAGGGCTGGAGCATTCTTTGCTGAACTGGTAAGTGGGTGGGCACAGGAAACCTCCAGGAAACTACATGTAGAGGAATGGCTCAGTTGTCATGAGTGAAATATTAATCAGCATACTGGTGAAAGTACTAAAGGAGTATTTTTTTTAACTTGTTCATGACCTTAAAAAGCACCAGTTTTGTTGAATGGAAAGGCTCTTCCTGGCCAAAGTGATCACAGTCACAGTTTCAGCTGTTCCCCCCTTATTTCTGCCCATTCTTGCTCCAGCTTCCACACTTGTGGAGTATGAAAGGCTGTGATAGCTGTCCCCATGGGACAGGAGCAAGTCCAAGGCATGAACTCAGCCCAGGTTCAGCAGGTACTCCAGGAGCTACTCCCTGCCCCTGGGTTTCCAGCTACCAGGCTGTTCACACCTGGGATTGTGTGCAGAAGTGATCCTGTTTGCAGCACTGCAAAAGCATCACATTCCTAATGAAGGACCAGGCAGTCCATTTCTGTAAGCAAGGTCTTCTCACCAATTAGGAATGCTGTAGCAGTTAATTCACAGGTTTGAAAGTTTCTGTTCATAGGATATACTCAATAACATTGATTTCAATATTTTAATAAGTCTTCTTGTCCTTTCCTTGACCAAGTCTATCCCTTTCCCAGTAAATGAAGATCCTGTACCAGGAATTAGGGCATTTAGGAGCCAGGAAGAGAAAGGGGTTGGTCAAAACCTGTTCATTTAAAGAAGGCAACCTCTTTGAGAGGAGGCAGCAATCAGCACAGAAAGCAAAGCATTGTTACATACCAGAAATGTTTATATTTTTCCTGAGACTGAAAATGGCAGGGAGCACAGCATGCAGTTTGGAAGAACTGATAGCTGCAGAGACAAGTAAAGGCTCTGAAGGACAACAGAATGAGTTTCTTCTGTCATTATTTTAGATAATATTTACTTTTTGGTGCAACACTCTTCATTTCCAAAGGAAAACTATTAAAATCTTAGAGTCTTACAGTTTTTGGTAATCCTTGGATACATGCTTTCAAAGCCAGAACATGAGGGATTCAAGGGCAGGACACCCAGGAGAAAGTCCAGTATTATGCAAAGATCCCAGATGTCCCTTTCCAGAAATTACACCCCTTCCCTTGTCTTCTCTCCTGTCTAAGGCAATGATGCCCTGAGCTGGCTGGCTGAAGACCCATCATCTCTGTGCCAGGCTCTTTCCAAGGCTGTCATAATGTTGATACCTGAACTGATTTAAAGGTGAAGAAAATGGAAGGAGCTTGCTGTAATGTTAGCTCAGGATGACTGTGATAAGTACTGGCACGGGGATGTTTTTCAGGGAGCAAAGCTGTTCTTATGTTATTAAGCTGTCTGTTGTGCACAGGTAGCTAAGCAGAAGGAATGACACAAACCTATTCACAGTGCAGCCAATATCACTGGTCAAACATAAACATGTTATTTAGACACATTCCAGAGCGCCATGCACCATCTCTCCCCAGGCATCTGCTTGCCTTATTACTTGTCTTAATAGAAGATGCTATCTCAGTCCCTGCTTCCCTCCCCACGCCTGGCTGAGCTGAGGGGCTGCAGCATTCTGCCATTTGCTGTGACACTGAAGCCAGTGGAGAAGGGCTGGCCCAGGGCACTGGGCAGAACTGGGCACTCCCACCCTGCAGGAGGGAGCAGAGCCAAGCAATGCCAGCAGCAAGAAGGGGCAGGGAGCAGAGCTGACTCAGAGGGAGAGCACAGCCCTCATCCTGCTGCCTGAGAGCTGGGAGTTGTGGGTGCCTGTAGCCCAAAGGGGTCAGACCCTGCTGCTGTCCCTGACTCTCCTTGTCAACTATCTCCTTCCCACTACCAGCAGCCAGCTTGCTTGTCCAGGGCTGCAATATTGCCAAAGCAAGCAGGGAGCTGCTACCAACAGCCTCCCACCTAAAGGAACTTCCAACATTACCAGCATTTTGCTGCTGGATTGTGTTTAAATTATTTTGGAGATTTGCTATGCAATTCAGCTGTCAAGTGTAAAGATCTGTATCATTCCCTTGCCTCCATCTCTGTTGGAAAGAAATGGGTAGTTTTCAGGTGTGATTTGGTTTGTCTTGAAGCAGATCAACTGCAGCTATCCTGGAAGTGCCCCTTTCTCTCCACCAATTCCCATTTCATGGGAATCCACATGACTGCCTCCAATGAAGAAGTCTGCTCTGTAGCACCTAGGAGTCTATTTGATTGTCCATACTCTGCTGCCTAGGGTCATTTGGGATCTTCTGTGTCATTAGAGTGAACTAATGCTCCAGAAGGAGCACTAGATTCCCACAGCTCTTGTATCTTCTATGCCATCCCTATGCTGTTCACTGAGTAACAGGAAACAGAGCACCTTCAATTAACTATTTATCTATGCTGGTGTACCAGAATTAAGTCCTCACAGTGGACTAGGTACCTACATATCAGCTGGCCATCTCACCTCTGAAACAGCCAGGGAGATTAAGCACTCAATCCATTTGCTCTGACAAAAGTGATTTGAGATGCTTAAGGGTATCCAAAACATCTGCATAGGACTGCCAAATCTGATAGAGAAGGTATGGGAAATTCATGTGCTCCTGCAGTGGTCACTGGGAGTTGAGCAGGAGACACTGGGGCATCTCAAATGATGCTATGCTGGTGTGCAAGCAACTAAAGTGAGGCCCCAGGCAATCTAGGCAACCACACCTGGGAGCATTTCACAGAAATAGGCACCTGCATCCAGTCAGCTGGGACAGTCCTTCTGACCTTACGCTGTTTGGGAGCTGAAGCACTCAGTTCACATTTAGGTAACAACCATCAGACATCTAAATTTAGGTGCCTCTATCTGCAGGTTACATCCTGTCCCTAAAGCGAGGTGACAGCCATCTCACCTTTCTGGTGTGATCACTGTGCAGACCAGTGGTGCCTCTCCACCCTCCTTGGCACAGCATGAGAGCCACGGACACCATGTCTCACTACAGTGAGTCAGCAGCCCTCAGGCTCCTAAATCACTTGGGATTGTTTTTAAATGTAGCCCCATTAGCCTTCTGAAAGTACAGGTTATGTTTGATGACTGAATCTCATGGATCTCTCAGGCATTCTGAAAAATGTCTGTGTTACTTTTATCTTTTCTTCTTTTATTCCCCTGACATAATTTGACAGGATGTATTCCATGAGGTCTTTTGTGTCTGTGCAAATGTAGGGAAGTAGCTGGCAGTCCATAATGTGCTCTGACAAGATGCAAATAGGCTGGCAGTGACCAGTGACCTTTGAAAGCATCTTGGGATGCTTTCCTAAGACAAGTTGGGTCCCACTGAGATGATGCTAAACTCTTCTCCATCTCTACTTATTTTCTCTTCTCATTTTTCAAAACTGCCTCCTTCTTGACTGGCTCACTAAGCCCAGGACCTGCTTTAAAGTTTAGATGAATTTCATGCAGAGAAACCTGGTATGTCCTTTCCTAAGAAGCCTCAGGATTTTACACTGAAATAAAAGTTGGAAGGACATGAAGAACTGTCTTGGGGCTCAGCATGGCCCACCCCACCATGACTGCACTGAGTGTTGCCTTTCACTGGATGAGCCACTGATCCCTGCAGGTTCTCATGTACTTCTGTGGGGTGTGGAAGAGAGGACTCTCGTATGAGTTTGGTGGCAATCTCCACATGTGAGATTCAAAAAGGATCAGCACCAGAAGGAAGCCTGAAGCCCTAAAGCAAACAAAATTAACAAGCAGATGAGACAGCTGTGGGCACTTAGACCTCGGCACAGGCATGTGCAGCTGCTCTACCCTCACCCCTGGTTTTGGGAAGGAGCACAAACTTCTTCGAGGTGAGGGGGATTTTTAGGTTTGGGGCTGTGTGTAGGGACTGAGTGCTTCATGTGGATAGGCCTTGATGTCAATTCCTTAATCAGGATAGTGAAATACTCCCAGTGAGTAATATTTAAAATAACAAATGAAGTCACAAACACATTGGATATACTCGAGGATTTAGATGGGGCTGTGATAGGTGTGTCAGGCCAGAGGCATAAAATGTAGAGCAAGGGGGAATTTGTCATTGCCTTTGCTCATGAACTGTTTGGGCCAGCAATTTGGACAAAGTGACTCAGCGCTGGCGAGCAGGCAGAACCGAGCCTTCTGAGAGCAGGGCTGCTCTGAGCGAGACACAGGGACAGCCAAGCTGCCCCTTTCAGGAGAGAGGCCGGTGGAAGGGACAAGCAGAGCAGCCGTGTCCCCAAAGGCAGAGGCAGCACCTGTTGCGAGCCCGGAGGACACAAACCATCCCCGGATCCAGGCGTGCCGCTCGCTCCGGGCACTGCGGGCCCGCTCACACGCCACAGCCGCCGCATCGCCCACTGTGCCAAGCAGTTTATCTGGGAGAAAGCAGGCAAAGACACAAAAGGCTGGGAGCAGGGAGGGGACGCACAGCTATTCATAGCCGCGGTCCCCACCCACGGGTGCCAGGAGCCAGACAGGGGAGCACCTTATCAGGTGAGCAGCACCCAGCGCGGCCCCGCGCTCCATCCCCACCCCGGCGCGGGGTGAGTGCCCCGCTGACGTCAGGAGGCCTTAATTCATTTCCTGGCACAGGGGCCGAATTTTCACAGCCGTGTCCTGTGGGAGAGGAGAGGCGGTGGAACTGGAATGGGCGTGCTCAGCCCCACCTCCTCAGCCCTCCAGCTGTTAAAGCTCCCAGGAGCGGCGGGCGCGGAGCTGCTGCTCGGCCCGGCTGGCGGGAGCGGAGGTGCCCGGGTCCTGGTGCGCTGGGAAAGTGCCTCTCCTGGACGGAGCCTCCTGCTGCCTTCTCCAGGCAGGACCCAGAAAGGTAACTCAGGGCAGTGTGCTCCAGGATCCAGGCCGGGCCTGCCTTCTGCAGCTGGGTTGGGATGGCTGCAGGACCGTGGCTGTGCGGGCACGGGTGCCACAGTGACCTGAGAGAGCCTCCCGGCCCTGGCTGTCAGATGGGACTGCCGGCTGGGGCTCCCGGGAAACGACTGGAAACTTCTGGGTGAATGGGTGTATTTTATGTACAAATATCAATTTGTACATAATTGAGAAAGGAGGGTCAAGTTGGAGGCAGAAGACTCCTCCTCTCTAAGGCGAGAGGCTACGATTTGAGGTGTGCTGTATGAGCTACCACAGCACAGGCTTCTTTGCACAGACTGCAGAGCCCCTTGGAATTCCTGGACACTGCTGTCGGTGCTGGATGAGCAGACTCAGCTTCTGGGGAGCAGCACTCACTCGGGAGACAGGGTAGAGGCTCTTCATGCCTCATCATGCCTGGCAGGACATCTACCCTGGAAAAAAAGAGAAGGCAGTAAAAATGGTTGCAAAAGGCCCAGTTCTCCAAGTCAGGAAGGTTATTTCCATCCCATTTGTTCCTCTGGCCGTGGTGGCTGGCTGTGGCGAGCACCACTGGCTGTCAGCACGGGTCAGGACCCAGAGCTATGGGTGTGCTCCGTGCTGTCATCAGGTCACTCACGCTGGTGCTCGGGGCTCTCCACGTGCCTCGACAGCGAGCACCAGTCTGTATCTGCCAGAGCTGTGAGCAGATAAGCTAATCTAATCACCATTAAATGTCGGTGGATAAAATTTTAGAATTTTCTCTCTAGATTTTTAGGCATTTATTACTCACAACTGTCCAGATAACCCAGCTATCTGTGCAAGAGATCATAAATCTCCAAAATTTTGTGTACATGGATTGTGAAAACTCCTTTGTGTGTTATCCACTTATTCCATGCTCTTCATGGGAGTCCAGAGTTCCTGCATATTTGAATAATTTGCATTTTATTGTAGCCAGCCTTTTGAAGAGCTGCACATCTTTTACACAGTGAGGTTAGAAGCTGAAAAAATATTTTCAGTTATTAGCAGGTCCATTGAAGCATATGTGGGGCTGGGAATGAGTCAGTGGTATTTTCACCCTTTGTTCATTCCTTGGTTAGATCAACTGCATTTATTAAAAACACAATCTGCACTCGCTAAAATCTGGTGGAAGGGTTTGAGAACCAAGATCATGAGTGCAGTATGTTGTTCTGGAGCAGGAAAATTAAGGCAAATGGCACAGTGAGCACTAAAGTCTAAATTTTGCAAGGTTGGTTTTGTTTTTCCGTCTATTAGAAAGCCCCTGTTTTTCCAGTGTGAGTCACCATTAAAGACAGGTTTGCCTCTGTTTCATTGTGATATTGTATCTAAACTTCTCTTTTGATTGATTTTAGAGACTCAAGCCTAACTGAGGAATTTAGTATTTAGAAATCAGTAACCTGGCCCCTAGGGTCTAAACTCCCTCTGTGCGTGCATAATGGGCCATGATGTGCTGTGGTTTCTGCATGTGCTTCAAGCTCCCGAGAAAGTAGGGAACTTAATTCCCCTAAAAATTCCCCCTTAAATGGGCACTTAAGCTCTCCTATCCCCTGGGAGACAGGCTTGCTCAGACAGCACTGAGGCGGCAGGAATGTGTTAGAGACCTTGACATCATCGTGGACTCCTCATGCAGTAGTTTGGTAACTTCTCACACAATGAACAGCGTTGGCTCTGACATGTCAGGTCTCTAGCCAGTGTGAAGCAGTGTTTTGGGGAGGAGAGTGAGGTCTCTGAGACGCTCCTTATTGCTACCCTGCCGTGAAGGAGAAATACGAGTTCAGGGCTAGTGGTTGGTGGCCTGTATTTGCTGTTGAATTTGGAGTGAGAAGAGCTGTGCTGGAGGCATCCGGATTAGTTATCTGCAAGGTAAAAGGTGTTAAAGTTCTCCATTCATAAGGGTAAACCAAAGCCAAAAGTGCCTCAGAGAATGTAAAAGGGGGAAAATGAATGTAAAAGGGAACAATGAGTTTCCTGTTTTGCATTGTTCCTGTCTGAATCTCCCTGGTACAAGGTACTGGTGTTGTTTGAACTTGTCAGAAGAGTGTAAAGTGTGTTATGACTACAGCTGCTCTTGTATCACAGAAGTGACAAGGCAGTTCCATCTCTGCACTGCAGGGCACCAAGCAAGTACCCACTGCAGTGCCTCACCTTCTCCCTGCTCCCCACTCCTAAAACGTTGCACAACATCAGGCACAGTGCAGAGGACGTGCAAGGTGAATTGCCTCCTCCTGAGGGGCTTGGCTTGCCCTCGATGGAGAGCCAGTGCCAAACTTTGAGATGACTCTGCTGCCATTGCCCCATGTCCTTAGCCCTGTGACGTCCTTGCCCAGCAAGGAGGGGATGGAGGTCTGTCCTTCCTCTCCTTCCCCACTGCCGACAGTACCCAGATGGTTGATTTGACAGCCTGTGCTTTCTCTTTTTCTACAGCTTTGGAGAGGTTGTTGAAGAAGGCAAGAGGATGACGACGACGACGACGACGTCTCCCCCAGGCTGTGGCAGCATCGATGCTGACTACTACCTGCTCTGTGACACAGAGAAGGCCTGGGGGATTGTCCTGGAGTCCCTGGCTGCAGCAGGCATCCTCATCACCATTTTCCTCATCTGCTCACTCTTCTTCCTCATCTGCAAAGTCCAAGACAACAGCAAGCGGCACATGATCTCCGTCTATTTTTTCTTTCTTTTAGGCACACTCGGCGTTTTTGGTCTCACTTTTGCCTTCATCATTAAACTCAATGACAGGACTCGCCCCACTCGCTTCTTCCTCTTTGGAGTCATCTTTGCTCTCTGCTTCTCGTGCCTCCTCACCCATGCCTGCAACCTCAACAAACTAGTGAGGGGAAGAAAGCCCTTCTCCTGGCGGGTGCTGCTGCTCTTCCTTGTCTCCTTTGCCCTGGTACAAGTTGTGATCAGCATTGAGTACTTAGTCACCATGTTTGTAAACCAGAGAGAAGAATTCCTGAATATGGTTCGGGAGAACACCAACAAGGACTTTGTCATGCTGCTGATCTACGTGCTCTTCCTGATGGCTCTGACCTTCTTGGTTTCCATGTTCACATTCTGTGGGCCATATAAAAGCTGGAAGAGGCACGGGGCGCACATCTTTGTCACTGTCCTGTTCTCCATTGCCATTTGGGTGGTGTGGATCACTATGCTCATAAAAGGCAACACGGTTTTAGACAAACAAACATGGGATGATCCTGTTGTGGCCATTGCTTTGGTGTCCAATGGCTGGATTTTCCTGATAATGTATATTGTCCCTGAAATTTGTTTCCTCACTGCTCCTGTGAAGCTAGAGGACTACCCTCCAGAAAATGACTTCTGCCAGCCCAAGTTCATAAAGCAGGCAACTGGAGTGGACAACCGTGCCTACACCCAAGATGAAATTGTGCAAGGTATGGTGAAGTGAATGACTCCACTGCCCCTCCAGCCCTAAGCACACAAGCACCACTCATGACCTAAAAGAGGTGGAAGAGCTACAAGAAAATATCTGAAGATGATAGGACATTCAAAATGAGAGGCTAGGAAAAAGTTTCAGACTAATGAAAGTTTGGAAATGTCCATGCAAATTAATCTCCAGACATGAGGGAAATGAGTGAGGACCAATGCAAAAGCAGTGTGTAGGAGCAGTGACTGGGTAGGAGACTTACTGCATGTCAGGGCTGAAATATAACTCTTTATGACCTTGCTGTGTCTGGGAAGTCCATGTTGAAAATCGGGAGGGTATTTTTGCCTCTTAGTAATGCATCAGCTCTTCAGGCCTATCTAGGTTATACCTTGGAGGTTATTTATTTCAGTTCTGATCAAGTTCCCTTATCCATGTAAGAATGAATCCATTGTCCAAAAAGGAGGCAAGGAGGTATTTTTTCTTTTTCTGTGTGAGTCTTTTGCCTACTTGGACAAAGCAAAATGTTTCTATCAATAGAGGTTTCCCAAAACTGTGGGTAGGAGATGTGATTCTTCTGGGTGTGGATTTGCTACTGGTGTCACGTTCATCACCTGGAGTCAGACCCCCAGGTTTGTGAGAGAATAGCCAAGAAAGGCTGTGCTCTCCCAGGGAATACCCTGGAGGGGGTCTTGTGCATATAGGTGGGAGGCATTTGGCTGGTGGTGGTGACAGTAATTGTGAGGCAACAGGAGGTGTCTAAACTCCAAGGCCACCTGTGTCCTGTTATTTGCAATACCATTCATTCCTGCTTTCAGAAGGAAATATTTAATGTCCTCCACCTATGGATTTTAGCCCATTCCTGCCTGCACACTGCATAGTTAGACCAGTCTAAAAGCAGCTGCTCATGTAGCCACAGATCCTGTGAATCTCCCTTGATGTGGATTTCTGAGCTACTGTGTAATACTAATGCACTAACTTTCCCCTGCCTTTCTCTTGTGACACAGGAAATGTCAACTACTCCCCATATGCTTCTCACTTTCAGATGAAGGTAAGTTCGTGCCCCTGTCACCCCTTTCACCACATGCAGGCTACAGGCTACTGTTGAGGTGCTGGAAGGAAGGGAAGGAGAAGGGGCAAAGACAGATGGGCCTAGAGCAGGCTTTGTGAAGGCAGGCCTGTGCTTTGCATGGAGCCAAGTGGTTCTGTCACTGGAAAGAAAGAGCTATGACGTGTCCAGGGACATGGGAAGGCAAGAGGGTTCCAGTGTAAAGAGGTTATGGATTTCAATACTTTGGGATTTGGTGCTACATAAGAAGTCCTCTCTTGAAGCACAGTTCCTGCATTAGACTGTGCCCTTTCCTCAGGAGGGTGTGCTTATTTCCTCAGGCCATGCCCTGAATGTATTGCAATCAGCAGACACTGTGCAGATCCAGACAGGCACCCTTTCCTCAGGAGGGTGTGCTTATTTCCTCAGGCCATGCCCTGAATGTATTCCCACCAGCAGACACTGGAAGTTGCAGTGCAGATCCAGAGCAGGCTGTCTGCATGTCCACCTGTCCATTCACCAGTCCTCCTTCAGAACACAGCCTAGACAGGCCTAGTAGCTCACATCATGTTCCCACATGGTCCCTCTGGTCACCTGTCTCCACTATTAATTTGTTCTGCCAGGATCCTCTTCCACAGCCTTATTTGCCACATTCTCAGGAAACCTTCAGCTTTGTTTCCCCCTTCCTTCCTTTGTTTTCTTTATAAGCCTTGTTTTATTACTTCTGTCCACTTTTCAAAGGTAAAGAGTTCTGTGCTTCCTTTTCAGGCCATTGAACCCCAGAATGATTTCTCCATCCCTCGCCCCAAGGCCCGGACAAGCCCATACCATGACTACACTGGTGGGAAAAGCCCCCAGTAGCAGCTCCCCAGGGAGCAGAGACTAAGTGCCCCTCAGCAGAGGCACAGGGAATGGGCCACATGGTGACAAGGGAGATGATCCTGCAGAAGAGTCAACCCACACCAGCAAAAAAGGAGAGGGATCCTCTTTCCCCCACACAGGCACCTTTGTAGCTCCCTGTTATTCTTCAGACACAGCTTTCAGACACAGCTCTGGCCATCCTGTCCCTGCTCACTCTGTCTGCATGGAATGGAGCTTCTCTCTTCTGATGGAAGAGCATTCTGGCCTATTTCCAGCAGGGATGCTAGAGAAGCAGGAAGATCATCAGCTGGGTCTGTGTCTGGCTTTGGCCCAGACAGGACCTGCTTTAATCAGCTCATGGGGGTGCCTGCACCCCTCATCTGATGGGAGCAGAGGAAGGAGCAGGAGCATCAGCCCTACACATTCCTTCCTCCTGTCCACCCACACAGACATCTCAGGTACTACTGAGGACATCTTTATTTATCCCCTGTTACTTTTGTGCCCACTCCCTGCCTGGCTGTCCTCCAGAGATCAGTGAAGAAGAGACACAGAGAGAGAAAGAATACTCCATTTTTCATTTTCATATTTGCTTCCAGCACCTTCCTCATCATCTTGGAGCCATGCTGGAGATGGGCAAGAAAACTTAATGACATAAAACCATCAACACTAATTTGCCCTGACACATGTTCCAATTCCTGTTCTAACAGTTTCCTTTCCAGCTCTGGCTCCTGCCCATGTGCCTCAGCTGAGCTCCCCAAGGTGCCTGCCCCCCCTGCAAACTCTCCCTCCCCACTCCAGCCATTCCAGGCTGTGGATCCCCAAAGACAAAGCCTCTTCTTCTTGCAATACCCTGGTGGGATATAATCCTGTGAGCCCTGGATCTCAGCCTCTTCCTGAGTGTGTCTGTGACATTAGCCAAGCATTTCCCAAGCAGCCAGGTTACAGAGGGCAGACACCCTTCTTCCCAAGCATGAGTGAGCAGAAGTGTGTGTGGTGTGTGTGTGTGTGGTGTGTGGACTGCACCCTGGTGATGAGCAATGAGTCTGCAGAGTTGAATCATTCTGTAACCTGCTTTGCATTTGATAAATAGCTTTCCATGGTATTTCATATATAACTACAGAGAGCTCTCCCAGTGGGTGTGTGTGGTACACCGGCGTCTGACACAGCTGTGTATTTATTTAGTACTTTGTATATGGACTGTTTAATTAATAAAAACCCAAACAGCCTGTCTGTGAGAAACTGGTGTTCTTCCTTGGGAATGTGATTCCTGTAATGGCTGGTGGGGTGGCAGCCATAGCTCTGTGTGGGTTGGAGTGGGCCACCTCTGGGAGGTTGCACTTAGGGAGAAGTGGCAGAGAGATTCTTCTTTGAAGCTGTCATTGTGGACCAAAGATCAGCTGCTTGAGGGTGCAGAAGAAGGGTTAGTAGCTTCTCCATGCTACTTTTCTTGAATAAAGTTGATTCAATGTTAGGAGTGCTTAAGAAATGAGGAAATATAAATCCAAGCCACAGCAAGCACATGCCAGAGAAAATATGTGTTTTCATCACTGCATGTGTCTGTATCTGCTGTGTCAATACTCCTGTGTTTATTCACTTGTCTCTTGTTGGGTACTTGCATGATCAAGAATAGGAAACATAGGAGCTTGTAGGTATGTAATTCAGTTTGTAAAAAGCTTTCTGATGTTCTGAATACATGTAATATTTTTATTTGAAAGTAGAAACAATATCAAAGCAAAATCATGTCAATGAAGATAACAATTTTTAAACCTCCTGATAATATGAGGCTATCGTTTCCCTTTTTAAAGAATAGTCTCTGATGAGATTCTATGTGGTGTGTTATGCTACCACATACCCTTATGCTTGGCAAGTAAACCCCTTCCTCGGGCACAGTGAATCAGGCAGCCTGGGCCTTCCCCACTCTGCCTACCAGCAATGAAGAGCAGCACAAGGACATCTGAGGCTTCTGAATCCCTTGGTATGAGACAGATCTCTCCTAAGGATTGATTTTGAAATGTATGACAGGATAACTTGCCTTTTTCTAGTAAATTTGAGGTGGAAATTATGCTAACCATCCTTCCTCTTTCTTCCACCTACACAGTTCACAGGTGTAGCACGGGATGAGGGAGAAAACTCAAGGCTGCTAATATAATATTGGAGAGCAGGCTGGGAAAAGGGTTTGTGAAGCTGTGATGCAATCTGTTGACTTGCAGACTGAAGGTAGGAGGGATATGCTTGAAACAGCATTTAACTTTCAATAAATTAGCTTTTCAAGCAGATGTGGTGTCATTGGTAACTATAGTATGTCCCAGGATGATGCAAAAATGTGTTGAAGGAGAGCCAGCTCCTCTGCTTCAGTGGAGTCTGGTGGAGCAAAGGAGCAGGCTAACAGGAGTAAAGTGTGCTCTTACCATGTGTTTTCCATATCCCAGACACTTACCAACTCCTTCACTAACTGCCGCAGACCAGAAAGTACCTCCCAATGTGCCCCAGAGGTGGCAGAACTAGGAGGGATGAGAGACATCATATGCACTCCCATTGATTCAGGGCATGGCGATTTTCTCAATTATTTGGTTGTTACTGTGCATGCTGCTTGGCAGAGAATGAAAATCTCCTTCCACGGATTTAGGAGTGCCTTTTAGAGTAATTTTTTTAAACCTCTGTAATGACACAAATACTAATCTGCCCAGAGTTATTTTGCAGTTGTTTGATACTAAGGCAGCTTTGTGTGCGAGCTCATTTAAATGCCAAAATAAACAAGAGTTTCTGTGGAACTTTGCACTGCTGGGTAAGAGGTGCTGCTGCACTGCAGGTTTCTCACACCTCAGGAGAGACTTTTGGAAAAGCAGCAGTTTCCTCTCTCCTTATAATTGAGCTTAAACCGAACCAGCTTGCCACTTAGTCACAGCACACATCCCAGGGAAATCCTAAACTGGTTGGGCCAGACAGACTGGACCCAAAAGGAACAAGTGAGTTGAGGAGGCAGGATCCTTGTGCTCGTTCTTCTGAAAACCTGCTCACTGGGAGGCCTGTAAGCCCAGTCAGGCTCATCCCTCCCCGGTCTCCCTTGGTGGTGGTGGTGTTTGCAGGTGCTCTGCCTTTCAGGGTCCTCTGGTTTCCAGTCCCTCCTCTCCGTGTTCAAGGAGACCAGAGAGCCAGAAATGTACACACCAGAGAAGGGTTGGCACAGAGCACACCTGGATTATGAAAGCAGCCAGGATTATCAGGAGGCAGGATAAACTGCTGAACTTCAGGTCAGGGGTGTCATGGGAAAAGAGCAAAGAAGGACAAAAACACTGTTCAGTCCCAGGACCTTCAGGGTCACCCTCCCATGGCCTTGCCAGGGCTGTAGGGCTCCACGTGCCTGGCCAGCAGTGAACATGGAGGGTGCAATAAACCCTTGGAGCACAGACCCATGCCAGTAGTAACACAATTTGGAATGGAGAGGAACCTTGCTGGAGTCACATCCCAAGTGCTCCCTGTCCCTTCTGGCAGCTGGTGCCAGTGCCACCCTCCCTAAACAAGATTTTTCTTTGAGAGGGATTCACCCTCTTCCTAGAAGTCCTGCAGCCCTTGCTGTGGCACAGGGGTCATGAGTCCCTCTTCCTCAGCTGGGACCATTTTCTCCAGGCTCACAGGGCCAGGTGATCACTTTAATCAGATCTGCTCCCCAAGGAACAGAATCACAGGGCCACAACTTGTGATAACTTTTGGTCCAAGTGTGCATGTTGCTCCTTTGCCAAAGGTGGGTGACTGTCTCACAGCAGGGCTGACAGTACAGGTGATATGTAATTGGGCAGTCCAGTGCCAGTTACAGCAGTCACCTTCTCCCATAAAAACCTTACAGTGTAGGTTTCAGTGTCCCCATCACACTGGACCAGAACCAGAGGCAGCTGAAGTGGAGAAATGCCTCCCATCTTCCTGATCCTGACAGAGGCAAAGTGAAGAGCTGGGAGCAGTCTCCTCCAGCCATCCCTGGCAGCTGCACTACAGCCTGTGAGCAGCACCTAGAGGGCAACAACACTCGGGAGCAAGAGACAGCATTCAGCCCAGCCTACATTTCCACTTACACTCTGCTCTTATCCACACACACTCCCCAGGGAGAGATGGATTTTGCAGCTTCTTAAAGGGAAACGTGAGATCGAAAAGCTGCCAGTGTGAAAGTCGTGTGCGAGTAATGCATGGGATGCCTCTTGCTCTATTCTGCCCCTTTAGCAGAATATTCTGCTCCCTTTAAAGTGTAAGCTCACAGAACATGCAGGGAGCTGGTGGTTCTGAGAATCCACAGAGTTCTTCCTTTTTTCCAGCTCTTTCCTACATTTTAGTAGGTTTAGTGGTACTACAGAGTCACAAAGGTTTTGGTCAGATGGGACTTCTGGAGAGGTCCAGTCCAGTTTCTGCCCTGAACAAAGCTCTTCTCCAAGACCAGTTTGAGATAAGCTGTGAATGTCTCCAAAGGCAGAGATCACACAGCTTTTTGGGGTCCCTATGCTAGTGTCCGACTGCTCTCATTGGGACTTTTTTTAAACCTGTGTCTAATCAGAATTTCCCTTCTTGCAACTTCTCTGTCATCCTTTGACCTTTCACTGTGCACCTCTGAGAGAAGTCTGATCCTATCTTCTCCGTAGCACCCATGTAGTTAATAGACAAGAGCACCTGGATCCCCCTGAGCCTTTCCTCTGAGGACAAAGCAGGTCACTCAGTCTTTCCCCCTGGTGACATGGTCCAAGCAGCTCCCAACAGTCTCAACAGCTCCCCTGGCAGACTTGTTCCTCTTGATCAAGCTCTGTAGCAGTGAGACAGTGAGAGACCCAAAGTGGACACAATACTCCAGAAGAGCCTCCTGAGCACTAAAAAAAAAGCAAATAACCAATTCCCTCACCTTGCTGACTCCATCCTTACTCAGACAGGCTGGTATGTGGTTGGTGTACATTGCCATAAGCATGCATCGCTGGACAATACCTTCTTCAGACTCATTTTCCCCAGCACCAGTCACTCCCTTTGCCCTGGAGGAGCTTGTGTGTTATAAATAGAAGGGACTGAACAGTCCTGAGCCTCCCTCTGTAAGGCAGGTGGTTTTTGACAGGAGCCAGAAATAGCACCTAAGGCCGCTGAGCTGAGGCTGCAGCTGCCTCTCCTAGGAGGAAGCCCTGGAGAAGAGAAGCCAAGAGCCCCTGCTCAGATTTGCCTGCTTTCTGGAGCTCTGGTGCAAAGCAGAGGTGTGCCTCAGCGGCAGCAAGCCCAGCCCTTGAGTGCCACCAGGGCTGTGTCACTGCACCCAGGCTGGGGTGGGTGAGCTGCTGGTGAGCAGCTGCACTCAGGGGAGCTGTGCACTCTGGGGCACCCAGCCTCTGCCCCAAGGCAGCCTCTGACTGCACTGAGCAGGGAGGGACAATGGCCACGAGACTCTGCTGGGGTCCCTGCCCCACTCCATCCACCTTGGTTCCTTTGGGCCTGGGACATGTCATATCCCCTCTCCCTACCTGCAGCACACTCACCCAGTACTTTCCTATTTAGGATTCCTTCCCTCCCTTAAAGTCAACATGTGCTGCCACAGGCAGTTTCTAGGGAAACTGGTGTTTGCTTTGCTTTTGCTATGGTGACGAGTGAAGCACCCTTCTAGATGTGAGTGCCATTTTCTACAAGACACTCTGAAGTGCCAGGCATGGAGCAGGAGCTGCCCTCCCGTCTGACCAGGCTGATTTTGTTTGCATCTATCTCCAGAGACAGCCAGGGCTCTGCCTGGCTCTGCCTGGCTTTCTTTCATCAAACTGGTAAGAGGTGCATTTGAGGAGAAAGCAAAGGCTGTGGCTTACAAAATGGGCATCCTGCTCTCTAACTAATTAGTCAAGATCTGAAATAGAATGCCGTGTCTCCAACATACGTCACTGTCTGCTGTTTCTCTCTCAGAACAGTCTGTAGTGAGGATCATATGCTTGAGTATAGAGAATTGCTGATAATTTTTGATGACATCTCCAGTCATGGACAGAAAAGAACCCCAATATCCCCCAGTACTGCTCCTTGCTCAATGCTGTAAGAAACAATGTTTTCCTGCAAATCACGTTTCCTGGTTTTGCCAGACCGAGCAAGCACATTTGAATTCCGGAGGCTAGGCACCGAGGGGCTGCTCAGTGTCACTTCACCATCCCAGGGCTCCCCTATAACCCAAAAAGCAGGCTGCTCCTGCAGGCACTCTGTTTTAGCAGTGCCCAACCTCCCTCTCTCACTG